ATTTCGCTGGGTTTTAAACACCAGAGGCTCAGCCTCAAAACTCACGTCTACATGTCACCACAGTAGGACAAACCGACAGACAAGTTTGTCTTGCTGTTGGAGACCTCTCGTATCACCCCCACCTGGGTCCCTGTGGCTGACTGTTACTCTGTCTGGCTTCCTGACTTTTAATCCCCTTTCTCCTGCTCTTCTGGCCTGCTGCTTTGGGCGTCCCTGAGTTGTCCCTGGTTAAATTATAGTCAGCTGCTAACTGAAAGGTTAGCAATTCAAATCCACCAGCTACTCTGTGGGAGTAGGATATAGCAGTTTGATCCCATGAAGATTACAGAATTGGAAACCCTGTGGGCAGTTCTACTCTTGTCCTGTAGAGAAATTATGAGTCAGAATTGCCTCAGTGGTAGTGGGGATAGATCACGACTCATATCCATCTCTCTCGTTTTGAACCCACATGTGTATGTGTTCAACATTATTCAGTGAACAAAGATTTATCAAGCACTCACAATGTGCTGCCCACCCTTTGAAGCTCTGTAAGTCCATGACCTGTTGCTCAAGGTGCACAATACACTCGTAGGGCCACACTGTGAAACACGTCTTGCCCAGGATTTCATAGAGTTGGCTCTGGTCACATCTAGAGTGCTCACGGCAAGCAGCCTTGTTGTGAGAGACAGCAATATGGGTTCAAGTCTCAGCTCTACCACTGGTTTACTGGCCTGCTTTCCTCTCTAAGCCTCAGTTTCTTCATCTCCAAAATAAAGGAATTGGACCATTGGGCCTCTTAGGTCGTACCCAGCTTTGCCATTCAACAGCTCTGTGATTCAACCCAGTGTACTGCCAGAAAGACCCACCTGAAGCTTCCCAGTAAGAGCAGTGGCTTTGTAAAGTTATGTGAGCCAGTTCCTGCACTGTGAACGAGGGCACCAGGGGGCTGTGTTCATCCTCTAGTGATCTAATGGATCCCTATTTCTTTCTGTCTCCTTTCAGCGGAGATCCTGGAGCTGGCTGGCAATGCAGCAAGAGACAACAAGAAGGGACGGGTCACACCTCGGCATATCTTGCTGGCAGTGGCCAATGATGAAGAGCTGAATCAGGTATGGGACTCTCCCACCCAGCTGTCCGTCTTTCCAAAGAGAGGTTGGCATTTTGCTGGCTCCGAAAGGTGTAAACCACGTTTTGGACTATTAGCAGCTCCCCTGTTGTCGAGTCAGTTTTTCCTTAAGGCTTTATAAGGGATGTGTGAGTGTGTGGGGAGATGGGTTGAAACATGGTATTTGGCTTTCCCTGGAGGAAAGATAGTATCTAAACTCCATTTGAGTGAGGGCTCTAAGTCCATGATTTCTATGTAGTGAGCCTGGGTCCTGCCAGCATCCTTGTGGATGCCATAGAGGAAGGAGCTGTTTTCATCAAAAGCAAGAGTGTGGATATGCAGGGCTGGCTTCTTGAAAGTCAGGACGGGGTGGTCTGATTCACCATCTGCTACTTTGGTTTTCCTGCAAGCTGCTAAAAGGAGTCACCATAGCCAGTGGGGGGGTGTTACCGAACATCCACCCTGAGTTGCTAGCCAAGAAACGAGGATCCAAAGGAAAATTGGAAGCCATCATCACCCCACCCCCAGCCAAAAAGGCCAAGTCTCCATCCCAGAAGAAACCCGTGTCTAAGAAATCAGGAGGCAAGAAAGGGGCCCGGAAGTCCAAGGTATGTGATTTGGTAGGGACGTGTGAAGGGGTGTGGGGAGGTACAGATAGATGGGATCATAAAGGGTTTTCCTTCTGTCTGAGTGCTCATGCTCACTGATGGAGGTGGGGGCTTCCGGAGGTACATGTAGGAACTAGTTACATAGGGGTTAGTCCAGCTCAAGTGGCCAGAGTCAGCAGAGATTCCCAGAGTCTGGACATAATTGGAGGACTGAATTCTTAAGAACAAGGATGATGGGTGGGCCTTCAGTGTGTATGGAGGGTGCTGAGGCAGGTAGCCCCAGGGTGGTAAGACCTATGCCTGGCCTTCCAGGGAGATGCAGATGCTCGTGGGAATGACCCTGTGTGTGCAGGAGATTCCCTGTGCTAGGGTACGGCTGCCTCCTGTCCTGCCTGGAGCGGCTGGCTGCCCCATGGTCCTGATGCTCAGCTGCAGAATTGCCATTGTGCTGCCAAGGCTGTGTGGCTTCTCTGAATGTGTTTCAGCAAAGATGGCCCAGAGTCTGCTATTTAGAATGATTGCTTCTGTTGAGGAAGAAAGCAGATACGATCTTCAGGCTCTTCTTATTGGACCCTTTTTGGCCTGATGTCTAGATTCTGGGTGCTGGTCTTTTTTGTGGTTGGTAAAACCCTCTTAGCTGTGTGATCTTCTAACTTCTTGGCTGGAGAAGGCCAGCAGATCTTGTGCCATGTCCCTCAAAGCATGAAGGAACAGCAACCTACCCTCAGGAGGTCTGGCTTGTGGGCGGGTGGTTTTACTTAAGGGGAACACATTTTCTTTTTTTCTTCCATGCTAGGCCCTGGCCCATGAGCTGTTGTCACAGCTTTAGGTCAAACAAACAAGGGACAGCACAGTTAAAACTTTGGCTTCAGCCTTTAAAAAAATGGAATCTCAAGGCTGCCCTGAGGAGTCCCCTAAGATGTCCTTCTTCTTGCCGGCAGCCAGCCTAAGAGAAAATTACCTCTGCATAAGGTGACCTCCCTAATTTGTAAGAAGCCACCATAATAAGTCCTTCAAAATGCCTTGTGGGGTCTAATCATTCAGGCTCAGGAGGTTCTTCCTAATATGGAACCTGCATCCTCTCACCAGGACAGGCAGAGAGAGCAGTGACCAGCTTAACCAAGCACCTGCCTGCTCCCAGTGCATGTCCCCTCCTCTTGAGCAGGTTCCAAAGGTCAGACCCATCTCAGGCAGACTGGCTTTCACCCACATGTGGAAGCACCTTCTTTTACCTCTGATCCTCTTCTACGCCCACTGTCTTTGGGCCTTTCTTTTGTTGAGTTGGAGTTCTGGAAGCGTAGTGCCTAAGGCATTTGACTGTTAACCAGAAGGCTGGCAGTTCAAACCCACTGGCCACTCCTTGGATGGAAGGTTGGGAAATCTACTTCCATAGTGATACCCATACCGCCTCGGAAACCCAAGGAGGCGTTGCTACACGGCAGTGAGTTTGGTTTTGGTTTAGTTGAGTTGAAAAAGGCTGTATTTCTTTGCATAGCTTTCTGGGCGCAAACAAACATTTCTCTAAAGACAACATAATCTAAATTCTTCCCACCCACACTCCCTGGCCCAGAATCACCCCAAGCTTTTTGTGGAGAAACCCAATATTGAAGAGCACCCTGCATGTTATTTCCAGATGCGTGTGCATGCCACCTAGCTCATGAGACTTGGAGGTTTCACAGAATGCTTCCTTACTTACCATTGCTAGCTATAAAATTAGCAGATTGAACTGCTTCTTTTTCCACTTTCAACATTTGCAATTGGGGGAGGGGGTGGAGCAGGAAAGGGGGTGGGTGGAGGGAAGTGTGTTAAAAAAGATGCCAGATCCATCATCTCTTGAAAATGGACATGAAGGAGCTCGCTGCCTGTAGAGCTGGGGCCTCTGCGCTTGGTGCTGGGCACAAGCAGGGGCAGAATGGACTCTTGGCTCAGCCTTCACTCTGGCTGTGGCCCTCTTTCATGCAAGCAGGCTGCTCACTGATTTTGAGCACGTTCCTCAGACTCCAGCGTCGGCCCGCAAACCTGGGCTGAACCCAACTTCCCTTGTTACTTCTAGTCTTCCCCAAATAGTTTTTGCCTCATGGCTTTGTGAACTTTCCAATTTACCAGACACCAGGAATTCTATTTTTTTTCCTTTCTTAGACTTAAAATCGAGGTGATGTCCGTGTGTGTGTGTGTGTAGTTCCTAGTAGCTATATTTGGAACTTAGTGTTTCTAATAACCATATGCCAATAATCACTTGAACGCTCAACTTTTCCCTTGATTACAAAAGCAGGAAGTCTGTTATGGTGGTCTGTTTTTCTTCCACACAATAAAACACATTGTCTGCTTACTGTACCAGTATTTGGCTAACATTAAACCCTGGGGGAAGCTGAAATTGGAACCGTGAACAGCTAATTTTCAAAACATTTGCTTAATGTAAATTGTGGTGTCAGCTCCCAGAAACAGCGGAGGACCCTACATCTCCAGGTTTAAGTGGAATGTTCTTTCCAGGGACACGCAGAGAAAGCCTTCAGAACATACTAAAGCACTTGTAGTGAAAGGGAGTTGGTATTTTTCAAGTGTCAACACTTGAGTTCCAAATCATAATTTTCCCCTCAATTCTATGTAATTTGAAGGTTTTGAAAATCTCCAGTTGTGACAGCTGAGTCAGCTATAGTGGAAACGGTTAGAGAAAGCAGCGAAGCCCACTGAGGTCTGGGAGTCTAGAGCCCTGGCTATACCTCTTGGGTTTCTCCTTCCTACTTGGGTGGGCTCAGGCAAGTCTGTTCCCTCTTTGTGCCTCAGTTTTCTCCATAAAATGATGGAGTCCATTACAATCAGTGAGGATGGAAGCAGCGGTCAAGGAATCAGAGGATGTATTACACTGGGCAAATCTGTTGCAAAATATTTCTTTAAAGTGTTAAAGAACAAAGATGTCACTTTGAAAACTAAGGTGTGCCTGACCCAAGCTATGGTATATTTAGTAGCCTCATACACATATGAAAGCTGGACAATGAATAAGGAAGACCAAAGAAGAATTGATGCATTTGAATGTAGTATTGGCAAAGAATATTGAAAATACCATGGGCTGCCAGAAGAACAAACAAATATGTCTTGAAAGAAGTATAGCCATAATGCTCTGTAGAAGTGAGAATGGCCAGACTTTTCACCTATTTTGGCAGCGTTGTTGGAAGGGACCAATCCCTAGAGAAGGATATCATGCTTGGTAAAGTAGAGGGTCAGTGACAAAGGGGAGGACCCTTAACAAGATGGATTGACACAGTGGCTGAGGTGATGGGCTCAAGCATCGCAGGGATCGTGAGGATGGTGCAGGACCACTCAGTGTTTCGTTTTATTGTACAGAGTGTCACTATGAGTTGGAACCAACGTAGTGGCCCCTAACAACAACAACAACAACAACATTATAGCCTTACAATTCAGTGACTCTAGAAATATTTGTACAGTGTGTTTTTGCATAGGTAAAAAGTTTAAGAATTTGGACAGTACAAAAGAGTATGCAGTAAAAAGAATCTCACTCCCACAGCAATCCCCCCATTTCTCCCTGGGCAATCACTGTAGTTGGTTTTTGTGTATCCTTTTAGAAAGTCTGTGCACAGAAAGGCATATCTAAAAACCAAAACCAAACTCACTGCCTCGAGTTGGTCCCAACTCATAGCGACCCCTCCTTGGGTTTCCAGGCAATACCTCTACAGAAGTAGATTGCCCAACCTTCCTTCCGAGGAGTGGCTGGTGGGTTTGAACCACCAGCCTTATGGTTAGCAGTCAAATACCTTAGGCACTATGCCACCAGAGCTCCTTAAAAGGGTATAGATATATAAATCCTTCCTTGATCCTACCAGCTTTTAAATTTTTAAAAATGTAAGTTACATTACCTACTGTTTTGGCAGTATAGCATGGTGGTTAAGAGTTCAATCTCTCAGGTCAACCACTTGCCTTGTGTTACAGTTCTGCCATTTCCTAGGTGTATGTGATCTTTGCAAGTTACTTCTGGAGTCTCCGTTTCCTTACCTGTAAAATGTAGATACAATATAGATTGGTTGCAAGGCTTAAAGAGAATTAATATGAAGCTCTTAGTATAGTGTCTAGGAGCTCTGGTAGCATAGTGCCTAAGGCACTTGACTGCTAACCAGGAGGCTGGCGGTTCAAACCCACCAGCCACTCCTCAGAAGGAAGGTTGGGCAATCTACTTCCGTAGTGATAACTGCCTTGAAAACCCAAGGAGGGGTCGCTAGGAGTCGGGGCCGACTCGATGGCAAATAACAACAACAAAAAGTTATAGTGTCTGGCACAAATGTTAATTGCTCTTCTTCTTATCTTGGCAATTTTTCTACAGTTACACATGTAGAGCTGCCTTAGTATTTAATAGTATGGTTTGTACTTACTTGTATACTATGTAAATCCAGTGTAACTTGCAATCTATGATTGGATGTTTAGATTGTTTCCAGTGTTTGCTGTGACTAACAGTGCCACAGTGACATAGATATCCTTGTATGTGGGTCTCTGTGTTCATGTACCAATATATCTGCAGAATAACGTCCTTACACTGAACTTGCTGAGACAGAGAGTAAGTATATTTTTAAAATTTTGATGGCTATTGCTCACATATAAAGCATTTTACCCCATTAAGATATTTCAAAAGCTGCCCCATTGATCTAACATTTAACACCGGTTGTTAAAGGAGAGGGTTATTCTTTCATTTAACCAATATTATTGAGTACCTACTTTCTAGATACTGGGGATACAGCAGTGAACAAACAGCCCCTGTCTTCTCCCAGTGAGCTTTGGGATAATAGGGCAGACAGACAGATTCCTTACAGAATATGGGAGGGAGTAAGTAATATGACGAAGTAAGTAGAGAAAAGGGCATATTGTGATGGTAGTGTTGTGTTGTTAGGTGCTGTTGAGTGGCTCTGACTCATAGCGACCTTATGACCAACAGAATGAAACACTGCCTGGTCCATCGTGATGGTGTGGGCAGTGTAATTTTATATAAGGGGTCA